ATGGGAGGCAATAGCAAAGTCTAAGCTAAAATAGGCCTCTGATAGTGGTTCCTCTTGCCGTGAAGAAATAGGAAGATTAGGAGCACGAGGTGTAGCAGGAGGAGGATTAAGATTAAGAGGAGGAGTTGGTTTGCACGATGATGGAGGAGCCTCTGAAGAAGGAAGAGCTGCGAGTGCACCAATCCTCCCCTCTAACAAGACCATAGCATCAAGTGCGTCTATGTGAAACTGTTAGGTTTGCTGATAATTAGAGTCACCTTACCTATGTTTCATTAAAAGATTAAAGGTATTATAGTAAAAAGAGGAAGGGTTTCTTGGAGAGAGAAAGAAGTTCACGTGATCGTTATAAAAGGGGATCAAGATAATTATAAAATCAAGAAAAATATAATACTCATCCTTGTTAGGTCACCCCTTTGGGGGTTATGGGAAAGGATCTTCAAGATGGAGTCTGCAAAAGAGAGAGACATAGCCTCCAAGAGAGAGGCGGTATTCCCATGGTCTAGAGGTTATTTTTTCAGTAGCAGTATTGTAGTGAAAAAAAGATAAGATATTGATAGACGGTGTTGCTCAGTGGGGAGAGTGAGTTTAGAAAGGAAGATCGGTGAGAGTTTTTTACATATGTTTAGAAAGATGTATATTTCTTGTAATCCAAAACAATAATTCATTGTGATAGTGGATTTCTAGTTCCCGAGGCCGTGGATGTAGCTCTATGGGATGAACTAGTAAATCGTGTATTGTGGTGGTGTACTTTTTTGTGTCTGCTTTATTTTTGTACTCGATTTATAGTTGTATTCATCTACTTCGCGTTTAGCCAGTCATATACATGACCTTGGATGAGATCCCAGTATTTGAAATTCCAAGTTCCGTAAGCGAAGTGTCTTGAGAAGCCTACAGGAACAAAGGCTCAATCCTTTGAGATCTAAAAGTGGCATGCCATTCCTTTGGGGGGTCTCACTTTTTCTCATAATGGGTGGTCATATACAAGCTAGATTCCCACTCCAAGTTAGCAGCAAAATATGGCATGGTCATCTATCATGTGCAATAACAACTAATGGCTGGCTCCAATGGGTGAAGTGAGGGCCCCTCTTCTATGTCCAGGGCAAGGTAAGAGTCCCAGTCTCTCTCCATGAAGCCATCCCTCGTGTCACTTTGATTATTCCTCATGCCATCAAGGGCCCTAAACCAAAACAGGTATTGTTATCATCCGTCTCCTGTATTTGGATTTGGAATACGGAGAGGGATATGATAGGATTGGGTTTGGATGCGTCTTCAAACATATTTATTACAGTGATTTCACTATCTCAAATTCTGGAGGTGGACTTTGGATCCGATATTTAGCAGACGGTATCAACTAAAACATCACAATCATGAATATAAAGAAAAAAAAGAAAAAAAAAAGAAAGAAAGAATTTTCAGCTTTAGAAATGGTCTACTTTGTATTTTGTTAAACCATCCATTTTAATTCTTCATGTATCCAATTAGAGTTGCTTTTGGAGTTCCAAATTCATGGATCTAAGGCTAAATGGATTTAATCCAAATGGATTTACAAATATTTGGGATATGTTTGGGGTCCTAAATCCTTCGGGAGCTAGAACGGACACATGAGTTTGCCAACTCGCTAAACATGAAGTGATTAAGGAAAATTATTTCATGAGGCTGGAACACAATTCTACAATATGCGGTCCAGAGGTATAAAGCACCCATTTTAAAGATGGATGCAAATCGGTGGTCCATTTAAAAACAATTGTAACTAACTGTACAAATGTTTTTTAATATAATTATTATTTCTAGTTTTCAAATTTTTTTTTTTTTCATATTCATGATCTCCATATTAAAGATTATATATTCTCTAAAAATTAGGATCAAATTATATTTAAAAAATATTTTTATTGCCAAGCCCGCATTTCTACAATATGGGGGTTGGCTGCATAGAAATGGTGTCCAATGATAAAAAGGGAAAAGTTTATACAGAGCCGAGGCTCTAAACAATCAAATTAGAGCCTACAACAAAAATTTCACTAGAAGAGGTTGTTTTGATACCCAAATATCCTCAAATTGATCATCTCGACATCAAGATGCATGGACATGAGAAAAAAATCGATTTCAAATTTTGGAAATAGTGTATTTTGCAATGCATTTTTGGACCGTCAATTTTTAAGATTTTTAAGGTTTCATAGATCTCTCAATCTACACTATTTTTGAAGCTTTAAACTTATAAATAAAAATAAAAATATATTTTAAAGATATCAAAAAGATTTCTAGTATTGAAACCACATTTTTCAACACTATTTGAAAGTAGGCTCTAATTTGATTGTTTAGAGCCTAGGCTCTATAGAAACCGCACCCATGATTAAAGAGGAATAGCTGGTCCCTGATCCAATACCTAAATTAAAAAACGTAATTAGGGGATTCTAGTAACCTAGAAATTCATGAAACTGTATTTTACTCATCGTAAGATAGATTTGAAAAACAAAAGAAAAGATTTTAAGCTCAAGATTCCCAAGATCTCACTTCTATCAAACTTGGCATTCCACTTTCAGTCTGAGAGGGAATTTTGATTGGGGGAAGTTTCCTAGCTCCAAAATCATACTTTTAATGGAAAAGAATTGATATTGAGCTAGACAAGTATGACTCGAGCCTATTAGATCCATAAGAAAACCCCTAACTAGGTATTTTACTTTGAAGTTCTACATGAACAAGGACCAACCAATCTTTGTCCTTGCAATACTAATTCCCAATAAAAAGAGGAAGGGTTTTTTTCACTTTTTCATTTTGGAAAGTCATTCACGTTTTTATGAAATTTGGTTAATATTTTGGGTAAATTTCTCCATACACTCAAATTTGGCGTACTATTTCCCTTTAAACCCACAAATTTGAAAAGCTTTTAATGGCATTACTTTATTTTAAAAAAAAAATATTATAGAAACCCCTCAAAATCAACTTTCTAGACATCCTAATCCCAATACTTTTTGTATCACAATCTAGATCATAAATTTTTTGACAAAAATGCCATTTTCCTCTCTTTTCCCTTTATGTTTTTTAGTCAGGTGGCTCTAGTTTCTCTCTACTCACACTCTCTCTACCTATCCTCTCTCTTCTTGCCCTTTCTCTCACTCTCTCTCTACTCACCTTTTCTCTCACTCTCTCTCTACTTGTCCTCTCTTTCTCTCTGCTCCCCTCTCTCACTTTCTCTTTACCTCTCTCACTACCCACCCTCTCTCTATCTCTCTTTCTCTCTCTACACGCCATCTCTCTTTATCTTTACCGACCATCTATCTCCCTCGCTCTCCATCTGCTATCTATCTCTCTCCATCGACATCGTCGAAGCTGCAGGTTTCATGAGTTTGAACAGAACGTACATCATAAAAATTGCAGATTTCATGGGTTTGGCCACAACCCACATTACCGAAGCTCCTGGTTTCATGGGTTTGGGCACAACCCGTAGTTATAAAGTTGCTGGTTTCATGGGTGTGGGCATAATATCTATCACTAAAGTTGCAATTTTCATACAGTTTTCTGCTTTTTGGGTAGAACCCACATCAGCAGGTTTCATGGGCTCGAGTATTAGAACTAGAAAAGATTGAAAGAGAGCCCAAAGCGCCTAATTGTGGGGTGATATGCCTAAAATTGTAGGTTACGAAACCCTTTACGTTTTCTTGCAGAATGGGTGTTTAGTCTACCGGTCTTCTTCTAACAAGGACCCGAGGCTAAGGTAGAAGAGTTAGAGAGGGCGTAGAGAGAAAGCGTGAAAGGGGGTGAGTAAAGAGAAAGAGAGAGAAAGTTAGAAGAGAGAAAAAAAAAGGATGGATAGAGAGAGAAAGTGTGAGAGAGCAGATAGAGAGAAAGTAGAGTCATATGACTAAAAAACATAAAGTGAAAAGAGAGCAAAAAAAGTGTTTTTATGGATTTAAAGTATGATACAAAAATTATTGAGGGTAGGATATCTAGAAAATTGATTTTGAAAGTTTCTATCATTTTCGCTTTACAAAATGTACCTTACAACCCCTAAATACTTTTGACCTTATTTTATTACATAATTTTATCCTAAGTAGTTTTTGAAATGACACTGCACGGTTCTCTCTCTTTTTACCGTCTTTTCCCACTCTCCCTCTCTCTCCCATACTCCCTGTACTTTTTCTAACTCCACCTCTTATCTCTGTCTCCCACGCCGTTTCTACTCTAAACACCTCGCTCTCTCTCTCCAATCAAAGTCCCATCTTGTCTCCCACGCCCTTTCTACTCTAAACATCTCGCTCTCTCTCTCTCCAATCAAAGTCCCATCAAAACGAGATTCTGAACCGAACCCATGTTTAATTTTGTACCCTTTGGATTTTTCCATGTTTTAGAAAAGCTACACGAGCGATTGCAGAAATTAACAGTTGCCATAGAAATAGCCCCTAAACTTGGTTTAAGTGTTGAACCATAATCTGATAATCCTAAACAACTCAGATCGGATTTTCCAGCATGCAATTTTGGTAGAATTCTCCGATTATTAGATTTCAGATAGCTATGTTCTTGTACTTCATATTAGAAAACAAGAGGTAATTCACATTTGGTATATGTCTATCATGGCAGTTCGAACAAATATATCATAACTGAATTTGATTTTCATTATATGACCATAGACTCGGGTACCTAATTCTAGAGCCTCCAGACTTGCACGACCTGAAAGACTGTCGCCAAAATAGCAGATTCAGGCTTCAGTCCTAATAACTCTCATCTCCCTCATCCAATTTAAAGCACTAGAAACTTTCATTTATTTCAAAAGCAGGCGATTAAGTCGCCCGAAGCTATTAAATCCTTGAGTGAAATGTTGAAATTACAATGCTTCCTCTAATTTTCAACAATTAGAATACCTGGTCAGACTAGCAGTATTCAGTCCAACTGGTTTCTTTGCCAATTCACCATAAATTACTCTCCCGAGCTCTAACAAACCTTTTATATTACAAGCTGACAGTGCATTAGAAATTTTAAAATAATTTTGGCACGCCGCTACATTTTATCAGTTTCTATAACTCCGAAGCCTTATTTACATGAAGAAATCATTGAGTCCCATGAAACCAATTCTTTTGGAGCACTTCCATTGGAAACCACCCATGAATTCTCCATTTGAGAAAATTTTTCATACATGTTTATCAGAGAGGCGAGAGAGAGAAAGAGGGGTTCTAGTCTATGGTCTATGGTCTCACTACTCACCACTGATATCTTTCATCTCCAATTCCAAGTTCCATGCTAAGCTTAGGCAACCAACGGGCAGGGCAGACCTGGCGTGAGCCCAGCCCATTTATGTACGCCCAGGCCAGGGCTTAGCTATGCCAAGGGCATATCGAAAACTAGGTAAAATTTTGGTGGGCAAACCAAAGTTTGGTAGAAAACCCCATCTGCATCATATATCAAAAAATGATTATCATGTGGACTGCAAATCACATGCAAAAATATATACTTATCATAAATTTTAGCAACTGGCAATGCCTGGCCCAGCCAGAAAATTCATCAGGCCTGCTATGCTTGACACCGCCCAGTCTGCAGGAGTGTGCTCCAAATCCGTCCTGAAGCCATGCCCAGCCCCACTTAGATGGCAACCCAAGTAATGCTGAGAGCCCCCAAATCCCTTGCCAATCTAGCTCTGGCCTTTTCTCATATTTGTAGCAAAAAAAGGTGTAATGCAAAATAAGCAGTACACCATGAACTTTGAGAAATAAAGCAAGCAAGCAGTAGAGGTGGGTCTTCGACCACCAACTTGAGCTTGAGACCTTGTGATTTTAAAATACTGCTTGAGACCTTGTGATTTTAAAATACTGGCCATGTTTCACCAAAATGTTAATATATGTTCAAATTTTAAAATGAATTTCTCTAACAAGAACTTCAAAACTAACAAAAGAGGCTTTGAATGTTATTTAGTTTACATGAAGTAAAGGAAAGAGAGCAAAGGCCCCATACAAGAATGGCTCAGGAGGCATCATTTAAACGTCATCACTGGCAACAACTTATATTTCTATGGTGGCATAAATTCAATTCCTTTTCTTTCAAAGTGTTGCTTGATCTCAGTGGTTTTAAAATGTACTGGATTGGTCTGCGGTCTGCAAAGTCAAAGTCCAAATTAGGAAAATGCATAAAATACACTAGTAAATATGCTAACGGCAAAGTTTCAATGAGATAAGAGGCACTTACCAATCTCTCATGATCACCCATGATCTCTTCTATTAACTCAGCCAGTAATTTGTTCGCACTGTTGGGAACAAGAGCTGCAAAAACAGCAGGCTCTAGTCCTGTGTAAAATCAATAAAGCCATTAGTAACTGAACAAATTCCCATTTAAATAAATCATTTTTTAAGAGTAAACACGAAACATTGTTGCCCCGACACTAGTTTTTGGTCTCATAGTCTAAGCATCTTCATTCTGCTTTGTTTTTGTTTTTTTCTGGGATGCTACTCCATTCTGCTGTTTTTATTTTTCTTTTCCTCGTCTTTTAGGTTAAGCATCTGTAGTCTTTGTCTATATCTTCACTGGGAATATATATTCCTACTTATGATAGATCACTTCATCTAACCTATATACGAAACATCAATGATCACACCCTCAGCTCCAACTTGGACCCCACCCATGGATATCTCAGCCAATAACCTCTCATGAATGTCAACAGAATGCAGGAAAGCCGAATTGGAACATCTATCTGCAAACCCACGCTTGCCCAAACCTACAGTCTCTCAAGACTCCCATTCCTCTCTTTCTCCCTCCTTCCATGTTGCCTTTTCTCTCTCTTCCCACCTACAGTGATTTGCCTTTGGGGTCCATGTGCCCTTTCAATGGCTCAGCACCTTGACATCCTTTGCGAAGAAACTCATCCCCCACAGATCAGGAGCAAGAAATGAACATCCTCCAGTCCATGTTCAAGGCCTCCTTGTCTTCCCCCCTCTTCAGTACTTGGATCGGAACAAGGACATGTATGCCTCTTCAGCGTTGTTGCCTCTAACCTTATTCCCAACCATCCTTATGGCAACAGGGAGAGCTGAGATCTTATAAACCTACATAAAAGCCCCAAATTCTCGCTCAGAGCGCATTTTCAGGTATCTCTCACAACCCTTTTCTTTTCTTCCCCGCTATCGGTATCTGTATCCCCTTTTTCCTCCATCTCTTTGTTGCTCTTCTCCACCTCTCCTTTCTCTCTCTCTCCTCTAGCCACCATCGTGCCTTTCCATTTCCATCTCTCTTGTCCCCCAAACATGATGAAAATTGATTAATACATAACACTAGTGGCCTTTAAAGACCTTGAGAGCATACAAATATCACAATCATAGTAGATATGTACTCCAGTGGGGAGAGGTCCATGTAGAACCAATATAGTATTTTAGGATTATGCAATCTAAAACCCCCTTCCCCTGGGCATATGACACAACATAGAGGGGTTCTTGTAAGGTCATTCCTTGTTGAGATCAGGGAGATGCTAGGGGATGTTTTTAGCCATGAGGTGGCCAGTCTCTTGTGTGCAATTAGAGACTTGTGAGGGCAAGGACCAAATCCTCCACAATTACTACATGGCATATACACATGATAGCTGCGTTATAAGAAGCGACCCAAGAGGGTATTACATGTGCACATGCTGAACAAATGACACCTGCACTTTTGCGATAATACTATGCATTTGATTAGGGGGAGACCCTAAAATCCACACTAGATTCATGTCCCAACTATTTGTTGGCCAATCATGAGGCCCTAAGAGTGACAGTGGGTCATGGGTCTCGTTAGGTTAGTTTTGAAAAGTTAGTTCGAGGATCACCGATTTTTAACATGAGTGGAATGCCATAGAAATGGCATACTCCTAATCTGATAGATCCAAGTTTCTTCCAATAGTGTTTGTTTATGATTAAGAAAAATTATGAAATAGAAAAATAAATTTTCCAACCCCATTACATGTCTTACTTTTAGCATACGGATTTTTAATTGAAAATAAATTATTTTGAGAATTAAATATTCAATACATTTTTTAAAAAATTATTTATTGGATATAAAAATAGTTTGGGGCATGATGAAATATGGGACCCAAGCCATGGGCCCACAAGTGGGGTAGCCCATCTTCTGTAGGATGTGGGGCCCACATGGCCTCCACACCACACTGTCATGATCCTCTGTCTCTCTCTCTCTCTCTCTCT